GAAGTCGTAATCGAATCGTAAAATAAATAATGTTCATAATTGTTTCAAACATGTTTCAAAGAAAAACGGCAGGAGTCATGCAATTACATTAATACAGAAACATTAAACAGTTACGCACTTTTCCTTGGGTGGCAACCAGTTAAATGTAACTATTTAAGGATTTGCTCACTAATAAACGCAGTTGGTTGCGTAGAACATGACGCGTAACGCCGCGACACTGTGTTTTTGGCGAGCAATGTTTGTTAGTATTGTAAAAGAGACGCCTTCATTTAAGGAAGGTACAAACCTAGTTGCTCTGATAAGGTTGTTTTTCAAGGTATCATACCTTGAAAAACAACTCTAGTATCTTGAGTAATGAAATTTTTTTCGCATCAACATTTGTAACGTATAATTTACGTGAGATTATTACAATATCGGGCTTTGTAGCAACACTAATAATCTTTATTTCATTTCATTTCCTCATTTATAAAATCATTGAGATAAAAATGTAATAGGACGTTAGTAGCAGTCAAAATTAATAAATTGTTTTACAAAGCCAATTTGGTTTTTAATTACGAGCCGTTTCTCAATTACGTCGTATCAAATTCTCAACATTTCGTCGTCACTGAACGACGTCATCGCGACATGTTTTTATAAAGCAAAAATCAAAAACATCTTAGATAGGTACAACCCTAAGTCTAATAAGTATCTCCGTATCTTCCTGGAATAATGTAGTGTGAAATGCTCATAGCTGCGAGATATTATAAGCTCTATCCAGAGTGGGAAGACTACAAATGTCATGTATATATTTTTAACTCACCTTTGAAAATTTTATTAGAATATATTCTAACCTTTAAGATAAGCAATACGAAGAATATTTTTAGACTCCAACTAAATTTAGTTAGTAATCTGTTAGTATTGGAAATAGAATTTTGATAGTAATAATATTTTCTCGTGGCTTAGGCAAAGGGATTTGACGTACCAAGTAATGTGCGTTGTTCATTTATCTTGTAGATTTACCGAACCCTTGAAATGAAAGCATTAAGATTACGTGTGCTTGTAACGTTAATCTTTGTGTTTTCTCTTTTCAGACTTTCTATTTCTAAAAGAAGAACGAGTATCGTTAAAGCTTCAATATTTGTTAACACAACAAAAACGTCGAAAAGTCTGTAAATTATTACTGTCAATCTTAATGTACAAATATAAATATTGTTTATCCACTCAGAAAAAAATTGAAAAGTAATTTTGTGAGGATCAACGGTGATTTTATAGTCTACGTCGCGTTTAATTATTTTGAGCCTTGCTTTAGCTAGATCGAAGTTTATTTTATGCCAGTATAATTAATTTGTCAACTCAAATAAATTTATTTTGCCTCATTTCTGTTATATTATTAGCATTAGCATAACATTTTATCTCTTAACTAATGTACATAGCGTTTTAAACTGTTAAAGTGTTTTATTTAAATGTGTACTCGCGTAATCTATAGACAGTATTTTATCTTATATTATACATTTTAGTGTAATGTATAGAGCTGTTATTAAAGGTATAATAATATTAGTTCACTTCGATTCAACTTCACTGTATAATATTCCCGACGTCCTTTGTAGATAATATCATCATGGAAGCTCAAATGCTTTGTGTGGAACCTGTATTTTCTCTTAGATGCTCTCAAAAACAATATTTGTGCTATAGTGGAATAGAATGATATTAAATTTAAGCTTATTTTACCCAAATATTATACTTAGTCAATGTTATAGTTGAGAGCAACATTATTATAAAAGATTTTTATTGATAATGTATTGTTATTTTATTTATACATTTTGCCCTATAACAGAAATCTTACCCTTTAGAGACTCTGTCTCTTATATACATATATACGTCTCTCTATCCCTACAAACATAATAATTGAAGGTTGTCATTCAATAATGACAAATGAAACTTTTCTCAAGTCAATTTGTTTAAAAATAACGTATTTATGACTTTAGTTCTTTTCGAATAATTTAAATATAAGTTGTTGGTTTAGAAAAGTTAAATTTAGAACAGTCAAGTGAACGCCACGCTTGTTTGTCAAAAATAACAAATAAAAGACACAATTACAATCAATACTAACATTAAATAACAATTATAAATTTATACACAACAATAATAAGTTTCACTCATCTTTAAAGTAAATTAAACCCGGATTTTTTTTTTGTGCCCCCGGCGAAGAACGACTTTAGTTAAAGATCGAGGGAAAACAAACCCGCTCTTTGAAATTGATCAGCCACTTTTATGAAACAAAAATAGCAACAAGTTTACAAAGCCCATTCAAAACAAATGTCTTTTATACCGGAAAATACCTTTATTTTCTTTTGTTTTTAGCTTTTTCGTCACGAGTCACCGGTCTAAATTCTACAGTAGCGATCGCCGTGCTTACTGTAACGGAGTTAATGTTGTATTGGGGTGCATATTGTTCACTATAATTATCACCATTTCCTTAAACTATTTAGCTGTGCATAAGATATTAGTATTATCTGTAGTTTACACGAATATTATTAACTAAATTTTTTTTTTTAATTTATCGAAACGTCCATAGTTAAAGAAGATTAACAATACCTTGACTAATATAATTTTGAAAACATGATGGCACTATATAGATTAAAATTTGAAAATTAATTGAAAAAAAAAAATGTAAGTGAAGTGAAATCCCATGTCCACCTCGTGGGGCATGGGGCGAACACTTCTTGTGTTCTTTTCATTCTCCGTCGTATTTTTAATTTTAGTCCTGCCCTATCTTTAATGTAATATACTTTACATTCAACCGTTCAAAATGTGAATAAATTCAATTGTACTAGTATTTTAGTTGCGTAAACTACGTACAGGTTAATTAGGTCACAATATATACACCACACGTTTGTTATTTAAAATCGTTAGATAACGGATTCATTGGTGTCATTGGCCATTATTGATATTTGAGTAACTACGGGTAGTTCCCAAAGGATCCATATTTTTTTGTAAATAGAAATAGAAACTACTAAACAAGATGTGCTAAGGACCTATTTGGTTTTGGATATTCGGACACCACACCACAGACTGAAACCGAAACGCAATTAAAGTTAACGGTTGTTTATCTGTGGACGGTGGTCCATAGATAAAAAACCGTTAACTGTGTGGTGGTGAGAATTTTTAAATTCTTACTACTCAATTAAGATCCAGATTTCTAGACGTCCAGCATGGTTTAGACAATTATATATTGATTAGACATATGTTGAACCCGGTGATGATCGAATCCATGACCTGTTGATTATTAGCCACCCATTGCTACCATTAACTTATGTAACCAGCAAATTATGTTTTCTATATATTAAATGGATAGAACAAATATCAAAATGCTATTCGTGTCCCGAACCGAACATTAAAGTCGTACGGTGTAAGTTTTGCGTTTCTGCGGGTTGCAAATCTCAAAATGTTATAAGTCCATAGTGTAGGTATATTCATTCGGCCAGGATATTTTACCTTCTATCAAGAATATTCCATATTTCCTTGTCATAAAAAGTGTTTATAAAATAAAATTGAATAACATATCATTAAATACTGCCTATAGTTTACGCGAGTAGTACACATTTAAATAAAACACTTTAACGGTTTAAAACGCGATATATTAGTTAAACTTATTTGAAAATGATTTTTAACTTCGGCCCGACGTTTCGGATCCTTTGCAGCAGCCGTGATCACGGGGAGACTGACGTTAAAATGATTTTTAACGTCAGTCTCCCCAATTCCAATTTCAAATAAGTTTAACTAATATATCGCGTTTTAAACCGTTAAAGTGTTTTATTTAAATAATATATCATTGTTTTCCGGGCTTTTTGGCCGAACAGCCCGAAAACCCATGATATGCTGAACGATATCCACGAAGGACAAACTTTTAAAACTGATTAAATTAAGATGTAATTTTGCAGGAAAACGTATGAAGATCTCTCGTTAAAACAAACACAATTCATCCTTCATAAATCTCAGGAAATCTGTAGTTCTGATTGCGTTTATCCAATTAAACTTTCTTAGAACTAAACGAAGGATTTTAATTATCTAGATATCTAGAAATTCCGAGGTCTCGAGCACTGGATTATTATGAAATAAACTCTTCATGACTATTCTTGATGGCTCTAGAAAAACTAGGTCTTGCTTTTTCATTATAGCATATTTATACTTGTTAAAATATTATGTACTCTTGGAACAAAAACAATTTCTAATCTGTTAGATTAGTTGAGTATGGTAATAAGAAAGTTAATTACGAAATTATATAAGTATAAAGTGTAGATAGAAAATTTGAAAATTTTTGTTTTTTGTCTTAAGCCTAGTCTACTTCTAGTGCCTTAGTACCTTAAACGAGTCAATGAAGCGATCATCTATGATTGATACAGCGACGGAATTATTTTATTATTAACATTAAATATTATTCAAAATAAAAAAAGAGAAACTCAAAATATTTACGTGACGTTTAAAGCAGCAGCCAAAACTTCATGCTGTTGTAAAAAAAATGAAATGGTTTGCATTTGACTTATTTTGCACGGCTTAAAAGTGTTTTATTTAATTTCCTTATTGTCATATCCTACGTATAAGTTGTTAGTAGATATATTGACAAATGGATCGTGCGTTCGATCCCTTTTGAAACCAGTGTGAGGGTGTGTGGAGTCAATTTGAAAAAATTCTAGAAATATAATGGATGTTTCTCGATTTCTTCTCGATTATTTTGGTATTGATGAATTAAAATTTCATTTTAGTTACGATGAGTAACTTATTAAATCGCATTTCGGTTCCATTCAGTGGATTACTGAATCTAAAGCAAAACAGGTCGACAGGGCATCTTATTGAAATTATACAATATGTAAGGTGTATATCACCATGTGTAGAGAACCCTATGCTCGTCTGTGCGTCATAAATAGTAATATTATTAGAGTTTCGGCTTGCACGAACGCGTCGTCAATAATGTGGATTACGTTTTTTTTTTTGAAAACGTAATACTAGTTATGTAAGCCTGGTTACAATATCGGGCGTGCGGGTCCAATTTGCGCGGTGAACGGTCGAGTCGCTTCGAGTTTTTGCGCCAATAACTTAGCTTTACACTCACGATCCGGGGATTTTTCCAGATAAGCCGATGAAACGGTCCGCCGGAAACCGGACTCGCTGCTAGAATTGCTGCCGTTATTAACGTTTGTATAAATATGTAAATCGGATAAGAAGCGTTTTAATTCCGCGATCCTTGCAAAAACGTTCAAAAGTTAGACATTATTGTACAGGTGGGACTCGGCCCCAGGACAGAGCCCATATCTTATGCTGTGACTAATGTATAAAGCACTATATACACTAGCGAGTTTGTTATATAAGTGAAATCCCGTTTCCACCCGTGGGGAATAGTGCGAACACATTTCTGTGTCTATTTCACTGAGCAATTTTATTTTTTATAGAGAGGAGGACTAACAAGCCTGGGTTTACTTGATGGGAAGTGAAATATTAGCCATATAACATCTAATAAAGACGACAAGTATGCCTGATCAGATGCCCTGCCCGCTTTGAAAAAATCTATTATTTCGACGAGATTGGAAGCCAGCACCTCTCACGCTTAATTCATCGCTGGATAACACGTTCAACTACAGAATGCGATCCTATATAGGAATATACAACAATACAAAGGGAGAAGGATACAATTTTGTGTCCGGACAATAGTCAGCACCAAATACGAATATACATAAGTATAGGAAACGCCATCCCACAATAACTGTATTACCATTAACGCTTTACCTGACTTCCGACGTCGGCTCAGAACCGGAAGCGCCGCTTAGGCCTCCATCCGGTGGTTGAGCATTACGAATAAATCGCTCAAACCTATTAATATTAGATTATGCTGGATTATGTATGCGCTTAGATCACGTTTTTCGAAATAATAAAATGGCGGAAAAATAACAGCACGCGCCAAGAACGAGTTGGACTACAAAAATGTGTTGTTTTAAAAACTTTATATGATTTATAGGTTTCAAACTCCGTTACTACATAAGTTTAACTAAAATATCCAGTTTTAAACCGTTAAAGTGTTTTATTTAAATGTGTACTACTCGCGTAAACTGTAGACAGTACCACAGGACGTGTTTTATGAATACAATACGAAACTTATGCGTATCTGTAATCACTTTTTTTAAATATTGTAACAAAGTCTGTGAAAACGTCATCTGTCAAGCTATCACAAATCATGAGTGAAATCAGACGTAATAATAAAATTCAATAAGTCAAAAACATTTATCTATATATTATCATTGGTAACTTTCATGAAGTATATTAAGGTCACACCAGTTAAAAACTAGACTCTAAATTTACATTTACTACCAGATCTTACATCAAGTAAATAGTGTGGTTTTATCCATTCCCTATGGAATCCTAATCGAAATAAACGACACTCTCAAATCAAAATAACGAGATAAGTTTAATGACTTAGGTCGAAACATGAAACAAAAATGACTTTTATCCCATTTAAAAAAAGAACGAGCGAACGCTATCGACATGAAATTGTGAACATCCTGAATTATCGCAAACTATCAGCTACAGTTTAAACTATAAGTGATTTCAAACTCTGTTACTAGGTAATAAAGACTAACAGCTGTGCACTTTAAAATTGGTTGGATCTCTATAAAACAAGTCCGCTAGCTATGCTAAAATGAACCGTAGTCCCACGGAATAGGGGTTACGTATTGTATGAGCATAAGTTAGGTGTATTGGAATAATTTGTAGAATTTATAGGATGTTTCGATAGCCATTGGAAAGTGGGTAACGATTCTGTCAAAGGGCTAATGGTCTCGATGTTACGAGCTCTTGGTTCAGGTTTTGCAAATTCTCTTTTTCGATTAACTTCCGTACGATGAGTACATTCGCTGTTAAAAATAGAGTACATTTATTGCTTCCATAATCGTACCGTTAGCAGTAAGTACTGTTTATTTATTGAGCTTATTTATGCGTCCGAACATAAAAAAATATTTCTATTAACATTTTTACATACTTTTATAATGTTACTAACGATTTTTCATTATATCTAGATTAGATACTTAAAAAAGTTAAAGAGTTAGTTTGTTTTATTGAACGCACTATCTCAGGAAATACTGATTCGAGTTAAAAAATGTTTCGGCTTTAGGCTATAAAACATTAGGCTACGATCAATAGGAGCGAATAAATAAAGAGACATGGAATTTTTCTTATGATACGTTGGATGTACTGTGAAACGGTTCAAGAAACCAAAAGAAGGAAATAATTCATCTTTAAATAAATAAATGGTGTAAAAAAAATGTCAATCTTCTAAAATGAACTCGCAAGAACGACGGCACGCGGACGTCGTCGTAGGTAGCAGCAATTATAATGTTGTGAAGGTTGTTTGCAAAGTAAATGACATGTTGCCCAAAATAAATATATCACCCGGAGATAGTCGCGAACACAGTTAGTATGCATATAATATAACCCTACTTCTAGGTATAACAATAGCTGTGTGATATCATTCCATATATATTTAATTATTTTTTCTTGTGTTTTATAGTGCAGCAAGTAATACGTGAAATAAATAATTTTTAAATAAAACACTTTAACTGTTTAAAACACGACATATTAGTTAAACTTATTTAAAAATGATTTTTAACTTCGGCCCGACGTTTCGGATGAGGAGACTCAGTCTCCCCGTGACCACGGCTGCTGCAAAGCATCCGAAACGTCGGGCCGAAGTTAAAAATCATTTTCAAATAAGTTTAACTAATATATCGCATTTTAAACCGTTGAAGTGTTTTATTAAAATGTGTACTACTCGCGTAAACTATAGACAGTATAAATAATTTTATAAATTTTAATAAAAATTTATTACTAAGCGAAGATTTTAGAGTGAAAGTTAGTAAATGAAACATATCTTTACGTTACTTATAATGAAAATGTCCGGTTTCCTAAAAAATATTTCAGGCCACGGTTTCTTCGGCCATCGGCTAAAATGGCGGTAAAAAACTGTAGAACGGCGGCGCAATTTGTCAGAAGTGGGTGAAACGGTGAAATATTTGGAAACTTCCCGAGCGCATTAAAGTTTGCTCCTTTTGTAAATGTCACGTTCGGGGTTGCTTTGATATCGCTCAAAGGTATGCTTGGTCCTAATTATATATTTAAATAAAACACTTTAACGGTTTAAATCGCGATATATATTAGTTAAAATTATTTTAGGACGGGGAGACGCGTTACCACGGCTGCGGCAAAGCATTCAAAACGTAGGCTGTATGTAAAATAATTAGCAAATAAGTTTAACCGATATATATCGCGTTATAAACCGTTAAAGCGTTTTATTTAAATGTGTACTACTTACTAGTTTAAACTACAGACATTATCAAATTACATATGTTATCACTATATGAAATGAAATTTTAACATTCCAAGTAGAGCATAAAACAGTCACATTTATTTGTCCGTTGCACTAGCCGTTTTTAGCCAGATTCTTGACTATTATAATTAAGACGACTATTAAGAAGACTACTGTGATCTGAACCAAGGAATCGATGAACTGAGTTTTCAAACGTTAAAATCTTTAATTTGATCATAATTTTCTTTAGCTGCAAAGCATAGAGGATAATGAATCTCAATACGTAAGTATTAATGTTGAAATTACATTGCGCGGGACGTGCATCTATTAATAGGTTGAAACTACTAGCAAGACGTCGTAGCCCAATTGGTTAGGATCACGGATCGGCAAGGATACCAATTGAAGACCCATCTTTTTCAATCTAGATAGATTTTTAATTGAAACCGGAAACTGCTCAACCTAATACGTGAACGTGACGAGGTTTTCGGCGTTAGCTCCTCGATTGCTCGAAAAATTACCAATATCTCCTGATAATGCCATCCACTCGTGATGGCGAAATGTCGAGAAACTCTTCTCGCTTACGTCGGCCGAACACCCCGAAAAACTGATATGCTGAAAGATGGGCTTGAAAGTCTTACACACTTTACTGGGCATTAGTTGCCTCTGAGACTAAAAATACGTAAGGATCTTTATAATGTAATATTTGTACAGAGTTATAATTAACGGCCTGTGACACCGTTGTTTACGGCTTAAATACGGAAATATGGACTGAAGTTAGACAATGAGGCCGTAATGATATAATGGAGTTTCTTGAATTAATTAAAAAGGCAGAGTATAAAAAATATTTCGGGATTACGTAAATGAAATGTAGAGACCCGCTCTTCATTATCTCGGGTAAATTATATTTTTTTATACTCCTTGGTATATGAAGGGAATAGAAAGACTATTGTAATTTTCGAAGTAAACGAAATATAGATTTTTTTATTATAGGGGAAGACAGGCAAGGATTATTTAGGTATGTGGGGGGAGGGAAGAAGCCTAGCAATATAACATCTCAATAAGATGCCACCAATTTTGGTTTTGGGTATTGGTAAATTCTCAGACTGTCTATAGTTTACGCGAGTAGTACACATTTAAATAAAACACTTTAACGGTTTAAAACGCGATATATTAGTTAAACTTATTTGAAAATGATTTTTAACTTCGCGTTTTGAACCGTTAAAGTGTTTTATTTAAATTCTCAGACGTAAACGCAATTAAACTTCACAGGCTTCTAAATAAATTAGAGTAACAGCAAAATATGTATAGAAAACTGTAGATAGAAAAGTTTTTTTCTACTATTGAGTTTTCGGCTTCAGTCAGACAATCAGACTAAAAACCGAATAGTGGTCAAAGGTAAGGTCTTATAAACATTTAGCCATGGCAATAATAATCTTATTTTTATTCTTAAACGGACCACATACTAGTGCATACGTAAATGTCAAAACATCTTGGTGTGTCATCTGAATCTAAATGCTATAACCCAAAAATTAATTACCTACCTGTCATTTGAATACTATTATACATTTGATATGAATATTTAAAAACATAATAGGTTCCAGCGTTGGAAATCAAAGGAAACAAGAAGTTATTTCGGTCGGAAAGGGTGTAGACGTCTAATCAACAACTTTAAAAAGTTCGATCGATAGTTGAAACGGATAGAAAAATGTGTTTCGGCCGGGTCCTATAGCCTCAATAAAATATAGCTTACGTAAATTTATTATCTATGTTTTTATTTTCTATTTTATATCAAGTGTATTTCTAATTAGTAATATAAATCGGATATATAGCAATGCAATTTCTTTTCATTCTAAACAAATAAACACGAGATTCGAATTTGAAACAAATTGCAAGTACGGGGGTGCAAGAAAATTATAGTGCACTAATTAATTCATACAGTCCCCAGTGGCGGGAGTTGCCAAAGTTACCAGTTTGCAAATTAACTGCGACACGACACATGTACGTAAAACGGTATCGCTAAGGCAACTGAATAAAAGATCTCGCATACGAACGGCTGAAAATATGCCTTTGGGGCCGATGATGTACTCATTCATTGTACAGATATTTGACACAAACTTAAATTATCCGATCTCTATCTTATTTAAAGGATAGTTATTTAAGGAGTCACACCGGTAAAGGTAAGCTATCATCGAAAAGAATAGCAGTGACTCTATATTATTAAATGCTGTCTGTAGTTTTTTTTTACGCGAGTAGTACACATTTAAATAAAACACTTTGACAATATTTCAATTAGTTTTTTAGGTTTAACTCAGGTTTAACTAATATATATCGCGTTTTAAACCATTTAAACGGTTTTAAACGCGATATGAATGACTGAACTTATTTGCAATTTATTTTAACTTATTATTTATTAATTTATTTTCGTATTATTATTGTTATATTTAAAACCCATAAAATGTAAATAGTCGACTATAAAACAGATTATGAAAGATAACGGAACACTATATTCTAGATGTTAACACTTAAATACTACATTTAAATATTATCACTTCAACGATTATCTTTGATTTAATCACAATCATTATACAGTCATATTAAAGAAAAAATGAAACAAAATTAAAATCTACCTTTTTTGCTAAAGCTTTAAGTCATCGTCTATCCATAGACTATATAAGTCTAACAACCAATTCCGTAGGGAGTTATATGTAGAATTATCATGTATGTATCAGGTAGTTGTAGCTTGCTAGACAATTGCCCTCAATAACCTTCCCGCAGGTAGCATTAACAAGATTGCATAACATTAACAGAATACAATTAGTTCTAAAAGTTTTATTATAGAATGAACAATCCTTGAAGGCCGGAATCGAACTGACACTATACAAAAACTTATCCGTTGTATAGTAGGACAGCGTGACGTTGTTTAATTTATGGTTATCAAATTGGAAAATCTTTATAAAGACATCAAGTATATATAGTTTATATTTTTAATTTTAACCTTTTTGTAATTTTTACTCATAGTGATAATTTTTAATAAATTGTGTAAGGCTTTTATGGCCATCGTTCAGCATAATAGCATTGCTTTTTATTTTTTTGTTGTTGTGCAGACCTTTAGGTTAGATAGGTAAGTAGTAAGAATTATAATTAGCAAAAGATTTTGTAAATTAAGCCTATACATGTAGTTAGTTGGTTAGCCTTGTATAAATAAATAACTACGCGAAACTTCTATTTATCTAATAGTCTCAGGCTTGTGATCCGTGGCCGTGAAAACCTTAACTTAGACTTACCTATATAATGGTATTCCAGCATCGTCTCTAAACCAGAAGACCATGTAGACCTTGTCGTTTGCTGCTGTGCCAAGGTCACAGGGGAACTGAGCGACCATACCCTCAACAGCTTGAACATCCACGGTTCTTACGCCCGCTGTAACAATAAAGAATTACGGTTATAATGAATTCAAGTTCGGAAATTTTTTAAGAGATAAGTTCTTCTAGGATGGTAAATTTAAATATATATATTACAATAATGCATTAAGTTATTAAAAAAAAAAAACAATTTCAAAAATTATTATATTTTATCGCAACATATAGGTCTGATTTAGGCTATAATTATATAACTTAATTTAATCAACGTCTTTAATTTTGGCAGCCAACTTTATTTGTAATTTAAAACTCACTATATCTTTCGAATACAAGACAAGTTGCACATACTTAAAGAAGAATACACTAACATTTTTTCATAACCGCATCCGCGTAACATTGTAACAGAGACTTTTATCATACTAAATTACTCAAATTATGTTTTAACGGTAACATTATGATAGTAGCTTTGTAATTGTGTATATTGTGCTATATTTTTGAAGTGTTTAATATTTTACTTTATTAAAATAAAATTAATGTTAATGCTATTTACGTTATATTTAATTAAATAAAAAGAAATTGTGGGTAGTAGTAAGATTATGGAAACAAACCAGGAGGTTAGAAGAGGACACAATGAGAGTTGGATACCCAGAAGTCCTCTGCAAGGAAAAATGGGGAAACGGGTGAAATGGTCAGCTGATCACGGTCAGGTCCGCGATAGAAAATAATATAAAATAGTAATGATACGCAAGTTTATACAATGACATTACACAATCAGGCTTATAGATATTCACTTTGAAACAAAAGATTGCGTCTAACATGAAACTAATAAGTGTTTAAGCGATGTCATGGTTTAAGTATAATAATATCTTCTTAAGAGCTGTTTAATAGAGGGTAAATGACTCTGTCTTCGCAGCTATACCTTCAAAGGTGCGCCTGATATGCTCGAGTGAAGAATAAATAGGCATTACACCGATTCCGTCTAATTGGCACAACCGTTCAAACAAAGAATCGCAAACAAACGCATGTAAATGAACTTCGCAGTTGTCACATCTATTCAGGGATCACAAAGAAGGAGCACAATGGCCCTCCTAGAGCCGCCATCCACACTCGTTACCATACTAATGGGACCTGGGGCATGTTTATTATGGTATTGTTATTGCCCCCTGGCTCGTATTGGAAACTATTGTCGGGACCGGTTGAGATTTCTCTGTAGTTATTCTACGTTGTTAATTGTTATCTAACCCATTGGCCTGGTTGGCGAGCTGAATTTTCAACATCGCACGTTCGTTCACTCGTTCAAGCTCTATTCCTTGAAACTCTAATAGCTTTACCATTACTTACTTCGAAGATTTTTCAAGGGAACGCAGCACAATCGTTATTCAGAATATATTTAACAATTGGCATTATTTTTTTTTGTAATAATCGTAATCTTTTTAAATTATTGTTGTTACCGACAACGTCATACGTCCCGTCGTTTTTGCAAATTAATCTTAAAAGATAGACATAGACTTCTGCGAATATTTTACCATAATTTAAAGAAGAGTCATTCTTTCTTAGATATTTTTTGGGTGTTTTAAAGCATTTTCCGATGCTCTAATCAACACAAAAAGAATTTTTGAGTCGAATACGAACCAAAAAGTAATTATTGAGATTAGTGCATTCAAAGAAACTCTTTGGCTTCATAATCTTATAAGCAAATGCAAATAGAGACCAGCAGACCAATATGCAAATGCTGGAAAGAATTAGTTTTTTAGTACCTGATCAGTATATAAAAGGCATCGCCCAAGTCTTATAAAAGTACCCTTTTCTAAAACGAATTTGTTAGGAAAAGCGTCCTGGACAAGAGCAATAGAGGTAGTAAACTTACTTCTTAAGCAAAAAAACATTTTCTATGATGCATGGAGTGACCTCGTGAAGTGCTTATGATTTCATATGGATTATAAAATAATAAACTGAAAATTAGTAATAGTAAAGTAACGATATTTAATATTAGTTCATAATTAGTTATAAGTCATAGTTTAATTGTATTGTATATTTCTATGTTAGTTTTTAAGTTCAGTGTCGAATTGGGCTACCACCTGTCATAACATGAATTTTAATGATTAAATAAATAAATAAATATGAATATAGATTTTTTATTACGTAGTAGGATAATTCGTTTCAGTGGGTCGGTGGATTTTCGAATATCAAAATCAAAACAGGTCGATAGCGCATTTTGTTTGGATGATTATATGACTGGAGTGCGTTACCTACCATCAAGTGAATGCTTTCTGTTCTCTAACTTACAAAAGATTGATCTATTTTTGTACTAACTGATTATCTCAATGCTTTTTAATTTATAATAGATAGCAACGAGTTTTTAGCATACGTCTACTCACATACAGGATATATGCTACAGTTCAAGTCAGACATAAGACGTCGACCATAGATTTCAATAATAAAGGGCCCGTCTAATTGGATCTATCTATCTTTATTATTACAGTAACTTTCAATACCAACTATTGAGGTAATTAATTCTAGATCACAAAGCGCGGGAGAATCCGGATTAGAGAGAATAGACCGGATCGCTATGATTAATTATAGATTATGCATAAATTGTACGTATTGAACCGTTTGTCTTCGTGGCTTAGGACTAAATTGAACTGGTGCTGGACCGGTATGTATGGTCCAACTTAATTGGACAAACATTGCTGTGTAAGCTCATTATTTATACTTGGATACTGTATTTAATTACTAACACCTTACAAGAGCTTTTGTTAGCAATAAACAAAACACTTTCAACGGTTTTAAACTCGAAATATATAATCCTTAAAGTGATCATGGCTGCTGTAAAGAATCAGAAATGTCGGGTGTCAGTGAAAAATGAATTGACTCATATATTTCGTGTTTTTAACCGTTGCGAGTGTTTAATTTATACGAATATAGTAAATATTAGCATACACTAGAGACAGAATAATTTTCTCGATATTAATCTCAGTCAAAAAGTGAATTATAAATGATGAATTGATTTAGTTATTCAAACTATATAGGTATACGGCTTCCGCGGCCATTTTGTGAAACTTCTTGAGTTGACGGGATATTCGGCCGTCGTAACTGAGAAATTGTTCTCGACGTTTCGCTGTCAATTACGACAACCTTCCTAAGGTCCTCAAGAAGGCGTGCTATAGTAATGTTTGAAAATTCAAAAGCTTTTAAAATTGGTGGTAGGAATGTAGAAATTCCGTCGGGGTTACGACCACTATCTACAAAAGCTTAATCGCGTTTCGGTTTCAAGCTGTGGATTTCCGAATATCCAAAGCCAAAATAGGTCGATACATCTTGTTGCGCATCTTGTTTAGATGCTATAGGCTGGGGTATATCAGCTGCCATGTCTGAACTCCATCGAAAAAAAACACCATCGCCGTTGTTCGTATATCCGAGATCGTATTATACTCATTAACGGCACCACGAAGTATGATTTCCGCGATAATTCTGCGGCAGTACGGGATCACCACAACGTGTAATCACATTGCTCCCATATGGGTGTGAATATTGCGAAATATTTATGATTTCGGTAATTTCGATTATTAAAATAAATATTGGAACGAACGCTACGTGTTTCAGTATTCATTTTTAATTACTTCGTTGCAAATGAATACAATAAATTTAGAATTTTTGTTGTGATAAATATTTGAAATCTGTTAATGATAAATACTGTCTACAGTTTACGCGAGTAGTGCACATTTAAATAAAACATTTAACGGTTTAAAACCGATATATTAGTTACATTATTTGAAAATGATTTTTAACTTCGGCCCGACTTTCGAATGTTTTCAACCGTTCAAGATCATTAAAAATCATTTTCAATAAGTTTAACTAATATATTGTGTTTTAAACTTAAAGTGTTTATTTAAATATTTTATTTCTAAGTAAGAATGAATGATAACAAAAAGGCCAAGATTGAGAGCCAAAAAAATGGGTTAAAATGTTAAATATTAAAAGGAAGGGGATAAAACTTTGTAGATGTTATCGCGTAAACTACAGACAATACTTAAAATGCTAGGAACTGTGCTAGGTGTTTGAGCTGTTCCACCGTCGTAACGTCGAATATTTCTAATAAGAACATGACGACGACCACAGAACTCAAAAACATAACTTTACAAAGAAGCTGCAAAAGCCTCAAATGTATATGAAGAAATTGTTTATACTTACAAGAAACAAAACAATTTTTTTATAAAATATGTATTTAGTCACTTTTATAATCTTAAATAACTATAAAAGCTGTATTATTCGAATAGCACTTGACTTTCATTTGTAAGGTCGTTAGGTAAGAAGGAAGTTCTATCTCTAGACGTCATTCTGAATACGTCTGTCTATCTTTAGGGGACAAAAATATTCTGAAAATGATTCGTAATTTAAATATTTCGTAATATATGGTCTTCCAATTAAAGCTTTGGTACCATCTTACTGAACTTACATAATATATCAATATATAATAATTCAACCTCTGTTACTGGAAAAGTATTTCTCGTTATAAAAATACACGAAATTGCAATTAAGGCTTTTCCTCTAAATGATTTCAAAATAATAGATGGTTCATTGTTATGGTTAAGACATTTATTTACCAAGAAATACATTTTCACTTAAGGTAAACACAATATTATACGTTACAAATATTATATGGAGTAGGTACGAATTTACAAATATAGTTTGGTTTGAAATGGTTCTCTGTACTGTAAATTGCTAATAGTAATAAATAAATAAAATATAATGGTGCAACCTTGTGGATATTGTATTTTTTTCTTATTTAATTTTTTTATGTTGTTAACAATAATGTTTTAAATTCGAAATAGTTTGTATGATTTAATTTCTAATAGTTTTGGGTAAGTATATAGATTTTAGCGCCATCAACAGATGTTATTTTTACCATAGTTAGTGCGTGGCTGTAAATTAAGTCATTAGGTTTCTTAGTTGAATTGAATTTGTTGATTTATGAAATTTTATTTTGTTGAGATGGCTCCAAGAATTTGCGTACAAGATAGAAGTAGTAAATATAGGTCTGATTTCATAAGTCGAGTCTCAATAAATTATAGTAGAAGTTAAATAATTAATGATAGTCTTTTTTAGTTTATTTTGAGAAATTTGTAATGATTTAAGATTTGTTTTCGCAACCGTGCGCCCCAGACCTCAATTAGATAATCAATATGAGGTCATTAGTGAATTATAATAAGATATCGACTTGGATTGGTAAAAGCGAACTATGCTTCAAAGTCACAGAGATAATTACTTCTAATTTGTCTATTGTAGGTTCCAGGTCATAGCATGTCAGGATTAAACCAAGGTATTTTTCACTATCACTTTTCTAAGAGTTTTTATCAATCGTCAATGGTGTAAAATTTGGAATTTTTTTGTTTAGGAGCAAAAATAATTAATTAGTTTTCGTAATTTTTATTAATAAGTTGGAATGGAACCACCGGCTTGTTTGAGTGTTCATTCACTTTCAGGAAACATATTTTGGTTAACGAAATCAAAACATTTTACCTATAAAATAAATTATCATTTATTATAATACCAGGAAACTTCACAATATTGACATGAATAGTGTCCGTATTTATTATGTGAACACATATTCTGTTAGCAAACTTTATTTTTCAATGAAGTTACAATGTATTCAAATATTTTGAGCATGTTGTAATGTAATTTCGATGTAGTGATGTTCAATGTATAATAGTTTTTAAACGGTAAGCTTTGTAATTTCATCTTCAATAAAATTCTTAAGTTGCAAAACATAGGACATTAAAACGGAATTCGCAAGTGTTAAGGTTGAAATTACATTGCGCGAGATGTGCATTTATCAATAGTTCGACGATGATGTAAAACACGGTAGTTGAATTGGTTAGAGCAACAGCACGGACGCCGGTTTAGGCATGACTTGCATGCCTTTTTTTATTCTAAAATCGTAATTTATTTATATAATACCATTATG